ATTCACCTTCAAACTGACCAAGGGCCATAAGGATTGGGCGTCCTATGCCAGTCTTTCCCAGAGGTCCAGTAAACTCTTTGCTAGTGATAAGAAGGGGTCAACCAAAGATTGGAAGCCTTTCTTTGTCTTCGTTTCGACGGGGCCCGAATCTCCTTTCACGGGTTCAGGGCGCCCTTCCTTCCGTCGCATCCCACGCCCCCCACCTGATGCCACCCTTTTGTCTATCACTCGCCAATTCTGCAATAAGGGAGTTATGAACATCAAAGAGGTGGTGACAGAGGAAACCCTTGCCGGGTTGGGGTTTGAGTTTGTTCAGGATGAGCTTCGCCACCAACCCGACCTACTAAGGGACATCCCCGGGGGGCATCAGCCTGACCAGCTGAAGGACATTCCTGAGGAAGGTCTTGATTGTGGTCCTTTTGGTAGGTGACCCTTTCTTTTGCCTAGATGTTTAGTTTATCTTTTCCCAAGGCTGACCATTTCCTTTGTTTCCAGTGGAATTACAAGATTCAGGAGAAGAGATGGACAGCGATCTCCTGCTCAGTCGCTTCACCGCAGGGAGGAAAAGGAAGAGAGAGACGAAGGGCCAGGGCAAACGTTCTTCATCCCACCACGAGGAGGGTCCTTATCGAGAGCCGGTCGTAATTGTGGCGGAGGACCAAGAAGATGCTACCCAGGAACCGGGTACCATGGTTGGCCAGTCCCCTCCACACCCCGTGATGCAGGGTGGCGACCTCGCTGGGTCGTCTCAGGGCATTGCCTTGGAGCGACCTCCATCACCACCCGCAGTGACCTACGAGGTGGCGACCGGGGGTCGCTCGACGAGGCTCTGCATCCCTCCCCTGCTCCAAAGCCTAGGGGACGCACAGCTGGAGACTCTTATCACTCTGCCTACAGAAGACCAGGCTCGTATCTCGGCAGGCTCCGAGGACGACCTTGACAACATGGTCCTTTTGAGGCTCAGTCAGGTACTGGTCTTGATCTCCTATGCATCACTCCTTTTCTTTAGGCCCCTAACCCTCACCCCTTTGCGCAGGCTACGCTGGGGATGATTGAGGTGGTCGGCCGGAAACGGGGTCGCCAGGCCGCCGCGGACGAGGTGATGAAAGCAGCCGAGGCCAAGCAGAAGGAGCTGCAGGAGTAGGTCGCCCGACTCACCAGGGAGTTGGAGGAGAAAGAAAATCGCTGCGCGGCGCTTACTGTGGAGAAAGCTTCCCAGGAGAACCGCTGCGTCGCCCTTGAGGGAGACAAGGCCTCCTTGTCCTTGGAGGTAGAATCTGTTTCTGCTCGAGTGGTCGAGCTGGAAGGGGAGAAATCTGATCTGATCCAGCAGTTGGAGGTGGAGAGGAGCGATCGGGTCCGCCATGCAGAGGGAGCGGTAGAATCCTTCAAGTCCTCTCCTGACTTCACGGTAGTCGCAATGGAGCGGATGGAAGAACTAACGGCCGCTTGGCTCAAAACTGAACCTGGGGCCCAATGGATGGTCAAGGAGGGAACCAAGTCCTTCAATTGCGGACTCTTCCATGCCCAACAGGTCTTCCACAACAGGCTGGCCCAGCTCCCTAAAGGATTCTCTCTCCCCGACCTTGGCTTCCCTCCTCCCTGCCGCTCCTTGGCCGAGTTCGACCCCAGTCCCTATCTGGACGGGGGGAGCTCGAGTGCGTCGGAAGAGGAGGAAGAAGAAGAAGTGGAAGGTGGTCAGAGCGACCAGAATCCAGGGGCCAGC